CAAGAGCGAAAAGTGGAAACAACCCAGATGTCCACCAGTGATAAATGGGTAAATAAAATGTAATATACACATACAATGAATGGAATATTACTGGGCAATAAAAAGGAATGAGGTACGGACACACAATATAGCATGATGAACACTGAAGACATTACTGAGGCACCTGGTGGCTCAGTCAGTTGGGCATCCAACTTAAGCTCAGGTCATCATCACCTCACGGTTCGTGAGTTCGAGCCCTACATCAGGCTCACTGCTGTAAGAACCTAGCCTGCTTAGATCCTCAGTCTCCCTGTCTCTCTGCCCCTCCCCCATTTGTGCGCTCTCAAAAATAATAAACATTAAAAAAAGAAAGAAAGAAAACATCACTAAGTGAAGGTAGTTAGTCACAACAGATAGCCTACTTCATGATTCCATTTATATGCAATACCCAGATCCACAGATCAAGAGTCACCAAGTTGGGTAGTAGTTGCCTAAGGCTGAGGGAGTTGGAGAGACAGAGTAGGGAGTGCTAACTTAGAACACGGGATTTCTTTTTAATTTTTTTTTAACGTTTATTTATTTTTGAGAGAGAGAGAGACAGAGCATGAACGGGGGAGGGTCAGAGAGAGGGAGACACAGAATCTGAACCAGGCTCCAGGCTCTGAGCTGTCACCACAGAGCCTGACGCGGGGCTCGAACTCACGGACTGCGAGATCATGACCTGAGCCGAAGTCGGCCGCTTAACCGACTGAGCCACCCAGGCGCCCCAGAACACGGAATTTCTTTAAGGAGCAGTGAATATCTAAAATCGATTGTGATGATGGTTGCACAACTCTGTGCACAAACTAAAACCCACCGAATTGTAGACTTCAAATGAGCGAATTACACCTCAATAAAACTGTCTTTTCAAAAAGATCAGCATGAGAATAAAGGCAAAAATCAAAGGGCACCAGCTTCAATAAGACAAGACTTGCAAAGCAGGATAAAAACTCAAAAGGATTGAAACATGCATTTAGGAGGAAAACCCCAAGCTACAAACACAAGGTCATGTCAGCTGATTTTTCTATGCCTCAAAATTAATACATAATTTGTTCACTGTAGAGTTTACTATTTTAAGAGAAACCATGGCAAAGTAGGAGGGAAAAGTACTGACTTTCACTGGAAGCACAGAGTGCCTGGTTATAGAAACTTTTATAGGTCACTTAATTTCAAAAGGCAGCGCCTCTCGTTTCTCGTACTTGGCAATCACCTTATTTTATAGACATGCTCTTAAAGGCAATTAAGGATCATGTAGCTCATATTTAAAGAGGACCAGGATCTGAAATACTGCTGAGGTTTATTCCAGACATTTGCACAGCCTTACTACATGTGATCTGTGGGAGCACTGAGATACAGCACCCACTGAGAAAGTCTTCCCGTTTGAGAGATGCTATGATGGTTACAACAGAAATGTGCAAAGCTTTCGATTCTTCCAGAATGGATGTGCAATGTGTTTTCAACCATCTAAAATTAAATGACGAATTCATGTATTTTTAAGCTTGAAGGCTTCATTTTACAGAAGGGCCCACAGGGGCACCTGGGTGGCTCAGTCGGTTAAACATCCGACTCTTGATTTCGGCTCAGGTCTTGACCCCATGGTTCGTGACTTCGAGCCCAGCGCGGGGCTCGTCGTTGACAGTCCAGAGCCGGCTTAGGATTCTCTCTCTCTCTCTCTCTCTCTCTCTCTCTCTCTCTCACTCTCACTCTCACTCTCTCTGCCCCTCCGCTGCTCGCGTGTACCTGTGCATGAGCTCTTTCTCTCAAAATAAACTTAAAAATTAAATGACTACATTAAAAATATAAAAGGGCTGGAAAAGTTGTACTGACATAAAGGAAGGGACAGTGAAAGGGGAACAGATAAACATAAACTAATGAATAAGGCTTCTCCTATCCCTGTTCCTCATCCATTCTTCAGGAATAAACCAGACCCACCGAACCATGATTTTCACATAAAGTACACTTAAATCCTAGTCCTTCCATGTTCTTTCAGAACATACTCCTATTCTCCCTCATCCTAGTGTCTCACTCGTTTGAATACATCAAAGGTTCAAGATATTGACCAAATTTTAAGAAAGAAACATGGATGGAAATAAACTCCTTTCATTAAACACAGGAAACAGTCTTTCAACTGTTTTGCCTTTGTTTTAAATTCCCTTCATTTTCCTCTCATCTTCTAAGTCATTCGTAACAATAAAGTTTTTAGTCTGTATCACAACTTGAACCTGGTTTGGTCTGGGATCAATATTTTGGTCCAGGCTGGTTAAAAGATAAATTTAACAGTTCTACGCAGCTGTATCACATAATGGAAGACTTAAAAAAAATTTTTTTTTAACATTTATTATTATTATTGAGAGAGAGAGACAGAGAATGAGCAGGGGAGGGGCCGAGAGATGGGGAGACACAGAATCCGAAGCAGGCTCCAGGCTCTGAGCTGTCAGCACAGAGCCTGACGTGGGACTCGAACTCACCGACCATGAGATCATGACCAGAGCAGAAGCCGAACGCTTAACCGACAGAGCCACCCAGGCGCC